ATGAGAATTAATTCTAGTTAGTTAATGGGAAGCACAATGAGGATTATCTGAGATTCCTACTCTTTCTCATAATACCTGGCAATCAGGATTGAACACCATGAAGCCTTGCTCTTATGGCACTAATTTGGTTGCTGCATTATTTCGTTTTCCCTCATTCTAAGAGCTGTAGGCATTCAAAGTGCAATATATCAATGTATTAATATTTCTCTAACATACAAAATTTATGTGTACTGGCCCTTTAAAAAGGCTTATCCCTTGGAGGGTGAATTTAAATCAACCAGAAATCACATGCCCATATCTCTAAACTGATTTCTTGTTTTAAAAGATCTGTGCTGTCCTCCCTGTTGGATAATCCCACCAACCCTGTGGTCTGGCCTTCTCTGAGGCTAGTTTTTACGCTTAGAGCCTTGAATAATAAGAATGCAACAGAATTTCTAGGAGAATTACAACATCATCTGGACTGTTTCTGCAATATAAACATCCATAATTTATCCATTTAACAAAACATTTACCAGAAGGTAATCAAACATAAATCCAGGAGAGAATAAGAGAGGAAATTCAGAAACCAAGTGTGTTTTACGATAGATTGATGAGCTCTATTTGCAAAGCTCTACTTTTTGTTGGAATTGCAAATACTATTTTCATTAACCTTCAGTTTTTTCATGTCTAAATCATGAAAAGGGACAATTAAAAAGCATTTTGTGGCACAGAAGATATCAAATAAAATTAAAATAACAAGAGATGTCTTCTGGATATTACATAACAATTATAGTAAAATGTTCCTTCATACTTTCAAATCAGCTAAAGCTAGAAACCCATTAATTACATATTTTTTAAGGATTAAATTTTCAGAATATCTTTTCCCTTTTTAGATTGTTTTCTTGGTAACTTCATTTCAACTTAATAAGTGATTTCTCATTTTTCATTAGGTTATAATTTCCTCAAAATGGTACATATTTTTTTCAAATCTATGATAGTGTATCTATATAAAACATATAGGTAGCCAAATGTGGCAATATAGTTTAAATTTTTTATTAATTTAGCATTTGTTCTTCATATCATCTTTTTCATAGTATGCATATATTTATTAATATAATAAATTATATTAATACATGTAATATAATATACATGTAAATCATATGCATTTATTTTTTCAAAGCATCATTGGGTTTATACCCTGCAATGAACATTGCATAGTAGCAGTCTTTATTTCCTCAGCCTCTTCTTCTTCTGTGTGCGCGTGCACACACACACACACACACACACACACACACAAATGTAAAACTCCATTAGCTGGAATATTGTGATTCTTCTGGTCTTTATTTTAACTGAAGAAGCCCTACACAAATATAGTAACATAGTTGTTTGATTCCCTGTCTGAACTATCCAAGATTTAAGCCTGATAACCACATTCATGTTAACAAATACAATGTCAATTCATTTTGCTCTTCTGTCCTAAGAATGAAAGAAGTTTCTCTGGAACTGAGATTTATTATTATCTTCTTCCACTCAAAAAAAAATTGGAGATTCAGCATTTCTGTAGATATTTAATTTAGGACTAAATGTTACTTCTACCAGTATTTTTAGAATAAGTTAAATTAAACCTGATAGAAATTTGAATGGGAATCACAGCTTGGCAACCACTGTAAAGAACAGAATTATCTTTGGAGGTGATATAGCAACAATTTTTTAAGGGAAAAATGTTCATTATTTTATCATGGCCAGTGAAATGTCAGCTCAAATTACTTGACATGATTGTGGTCTTATTATTTCAGTGAAGTAATGAAAGAAACAAGAAGAAGGAATATTACGGTATCAGGTGATTCAGCCTTAGCCCTTTCCCTCATTGTTTGACCTCAGACAATTTGTTTTGTCTCCTTAAAATGAAGGCCTTTCATTTATAAAATGACAGGATTAGTCTAAACTAACAGTTTTCACACTGGGCATTCATGAGCACTATAGGGGTGGGAAGGTATTGGCAAGTAAGCTGGTTCGCTGGGTCCAATCTGTCTTCCACCTCTCTCCCTTTCTCTGTCTCTCTCTAAAAAGATCTGTTTAAATGTTTTACATATTGAGCTATCTCTCTTCCTTTTGAAGAAGAGGTTTTTTGAACTAATGCCTTGTTTAAAAAAAAAAAATAGTCCCTCTACATAAGTTTATTTTTATGGTTGCTTCCCATGCTAAAGCCTATGGTCTAAATTCACAGGTTTTAGATTTGGTGCTTTTTTTGTGTTTTATTTCTTAGAAAAATGATTCCACACATGAACCATTTTAGAACGCTTTATTCTGCACATACTGTTACAGAATTTACCTGAAAAGAAACAACTGTTAACATACTGAGGGCTCGAGGAGACTCTAGGAGTGAGACAAGACAAGGACTGTAGTCCTTTGGGAATCACACTCGTTCTATGCCTCAGAGAAACAGCAAAGAGAAGATGTCCCTCTCTTCTTTGCCCTCCTCTGAGCTACTCTAGCACTTTATTTCCCTCTTCAGATATTAATTCAATTCAGCATATATGTACTGAGGGTTCATTCTACATGCGGCATTTTATGTTATTTTTAGTTACGTGCATGACTTATTTCCCCTCCTGAATGGCTGCTGCTTCGATTGGAGCCTTCCTGTTTCATCTCTTTCTTACTTCCCATCCCAGTGCCTAGCAAAATGCCTACGGAAGTGAGTACAAAACAGACATTCTTTGATTGAAAAAAAATGCTAAAGTAATCACATTGAGAGCAGACTAACCTTCTTTGAAGATCTTTCATAATAAAACTACCACTCTAAATTAACAGCTATGATTAATTTGCTAAGTTTTATACCACTTTTGCCCTGAACACTGATATTTTTAACATTGATACTATGTCAAGTATGATGATGAACAACGTACCATTCATGGCCTCCAAATCCTAGAAAATTTTTTATTTCTGTAACTGTGAGATATTTAAATTTTGAACAATTCCCTGAAAATTCTTAGTGGATTTTTAATTCATTGCAATTCTAGGTTTGAGTCTGCAGATAGAGAAATCTGAACACTCAGAAAGTCATTATTATGGTTTGACGTTCAAGAACTCCATTATTAAAGTTCAATTTTAATTTCACAATTAAGTTATAACTTTTGGTCAAATTGAAGGCATTAAAGTATTTTGGTCAAATTGAAGGCATTAAGGTAGTCAGTACATCCTTCAAAGCTACAATGGAATAAATATTTATTTCATGCAAGTTCGCTATGTTCCTGATGTCTGAAACAGGTTAAGAGTAGAAAAAAGAATGGACCGTATGCTGTATTCTTTACTCTCCATCAAAACTGATCAGAAATGACACCAAATGTAACCTCATTGTCTGATTTTTAGTATAACGCAGAGCAAGAAATTTGGGCTGTGTAACACGCCCAAACTTCTACTCAACTACTGTTTCCTGACACTGAACCAGCCAAGACCAACTGCTTTTTTTTTTTTTTTTTTTTTTTTGAGACCAATCCCAACTTCTATGGGCATTTTCATTTATTAAATATTGTTAAGGAATGCCTTTAAGGTTTCTTTAATTAAAACCAAATTTTTACTTCTAATTACATGAATTTCCAAGAATTTATATTCTATCACCTAGTATTTTTTTACTGGCAGATGTACTATGGTTTACAAACGTAATATTTTGGAATCTTCTTTACCACATCATTAGTCAATCAATTTTAATGAACTAGTGATGAGATATAATGTATCATATAACTTTCATCTAAGTTTTAAAGGTTGTATGATATTTCTAGAGATATAATGCTGCTTTAAATTTGAAAAAGCTAAAGTCAATGAAAGAGTCTAATTATTAAGTGATTGGTTATTTGAAATATTAATCATATTTTAAGAAAGCATAAAAAATAGTAAGTAAAATAAAAAAGGCAATGTGTAACCAAAATAAGTATCAGTCCATTGAAAATTGAAAAAGTCAACCAGTGAGCTGGCTCTATTACCTCTACTCAGCCAAGCTGTCAACTTGATCGACTCTTTTCTGAATCAACTGAGTCTCAAACCGCAAAGAAAACAATTACATAACTGTCAGTCATTCAGTTGCCAAGATTAATTTCTATCAAGTTTCAATAAGGTTGTATTTAATTTTACCTTTATGGCAGTGAAGGCTTATGGGATACACTTCTTTCTGTATTAATAATAAAAATCATTCCAATCAAGACCATCTGCAACTTAATGTGGAGAAAATCAAAGACCCATGGCACTCAATACAGAGAACAATGTACATTTTGTGACATAAAATTCATATAATAGACGGAGGAAACTCTGAAACTGTAACCTTAGGCTATGTTTAAACTGATTATCAATTGCTTATATCAATGATTCTTAAACAGAAGACAGCAGACATGTCCTCTGTTACTAATGTCAGTGTGTTTTATCCCCAAGGGACACATTCCTTAAATATAGTGGATTGATTGAGAACCACTACTATAGATAATAAGTATACTTGCATTTAGCAATAAGGGAAATAAAAAATATTTCTCTAACATAAAAGTGTATAAACCAAGAACTTTCCAGTGAGTCAAAATAAGATTTAAATGTACTATAAGCGTCCAGTCATGTTTGGCATGATTGAAATATTTGGTCTTGTTGATGAGTTTATATTAGCATTTATATAACACTAAGGTAATCGCCATATGCCCATTTCCAGACCACCGCAATCAGCCCCTGCAAAAACAAATCAGGACAACAACAATGGAACTGAACTACTATGACACCAGTACATCTATCTGTTATTTACCAGGGCATCTTGATGATTAGCACAGTGGCAAAGACATACTGGGTACTTAATAAATATTTGTTGAATTAATAAATTTGGTTGAATCTGGATAAAATTAGTTACTTCCATAATTGCGATTCCATTGTGAATTATAAAAACTGATAACTTTTTGTTGCTCAGTGCTCCCATGAATTTTATGAATAGAAACAATGATACAGTGATAATAGTTTGCATTGATTGCCCTGTTTTATTTGTGTATTTACAGGCAAATGGACACAGTTTTGTACATATGGAACATGAAAAAGCTGTATTACTACTGAAGAGTTTCCAGAACACAGTAGACCTAGTTATTCAACGTGAGCTTACTGTCTAAATATTTTTTATAAATAGTGAAGATACGTCTAGCCAGACCTAATGTTCAAAAATAAATTTATACATAGAAACAAATTTTGCCAATTGCTGGACCAATGGCAAACATTAGTGCCAAATGTATAATACTATATGTTAGCACTGACCATCCTTAAAAATGTTAACTCTATAAATATGATGTTCATGTGGTTATGTATTAGTTTTAATTGTCAGCCTCTGGCTGTGCATTGGTGCAGTTTTGTTTCTGTTTTTGTTTTTGTTTTTAATCAAATAAGTTTCTTCTCAAAGTGGATTTCATATAATTTCGGAGCACGGAAGCACACACAAGCTCTTTATGAATTCTGCTCTCCATCAGAAACACTGCCTCAAAGTTGTATATGCCTTTATATAGAAACTACAAATATAAAGAATTGTAATTCCCATAAAATATTTCTAGCACAAGGTATATGTTGGCATATATACAAAAAGAATATAGAGAAAAACAATATTTTCATAAACTAAACGTCTCGGATAGAGAAAAAATATATCTTAAAATAAGACTTTACTATATTGAATCTTTTTCAATAAAAATTACATGATAATGCCTTATGAAAGTAACTGTACATATGGTATAAAGTGTTTATATTTGGTTCCATATTCATTTGCTAAATTCTCATGACACAGAGTGAAATATTTCATAAATTAGCCATTTATCTCTGGGACCCGAATAAAAATAGGATGAACTAATTTGTTCAATGCCTTTAGCTAATTACAATACATGCAGAGTTTAGAAACAGACTAACGATCATTGTAGTTAAGTCTTTTTCACCACAAATTTAAGCAGTGGATGATGGGTGGCAGGAAAGGTATTGCTTTATTTCTTTCAAGTTCATGTTGATTATAAACTGTAGCCCCTGTGATTTCTTTACTTGTAAATGTGGAATTTATTTGTGTGTTGCTTAATCTAATTTGCTACTTTTTAAATTATTTAAAATGAGTTTTGGAAATTGATAAAATTTATCATTACGAAAGACTGCTGTTAGAAAGTTATGGTGGGTGATTTTAAATCCTTGGTATTTAAATATGAAACTTCAAATATAATTTCTCAGAGCTGTGGTCTACCTGTATCATTAATTTCAATGGCTGATTTTCTAGGCAGAAATAGATAAAATACTTTTTTTTCCAAAAACAGTTTCAAGGTATGTACAATCCTGAATGCTTTCTCACCGGAGAGAAAGACAAGCATGGTTAATGTAGAATTACTTACTTTTCCATTGAAAACATTTTCCTGTATAAATGATCAAAATTTATTTTATAATCCTTCTAAATATTTGTCTTTCATATTAGTCATTAATTTAATTACAATATTAATTTGAAATTCTAGGATAATTTTCCAGAGAGTTGGTTGCATGCATTCTCTTTCATAATTTTACATAGTTCTTTTGTTATATAATGAATTTACATGCTAGTGTTTCAAGTATTGTATGAAGATTTTCACAGTAGTATCACTGATTGATGTCACCAAAGCTCTGAGAATAATATTTGTAAGTTAACTGTTTTATGGGGACATTGAAAATATTGTATTTTTGTAGGGTCTATTAAAATGAGTGTCACTTATTAGAAGTACAGTGGTATTTTTTGGCAATAGAATTTGTCACTTGGAAGCAAATAATACTTCACTTTATAAATGATGCACTAATATTGATGTTTGCTTTATGTCAAGGTGACATTATACCATGATTTTATAGGGTTTGACAATTAGCTAATGATTAAATGATTGGCCTATTTAGTATGTTTCCCAGAAGTAACTTTTAAATGTATTTTAATATATTGAGAGTTTCAGATGAGAAATGTCTTTCAGAGACTAATTTGCTTTGTTGAAAACTCATGTCAAGCCACCATGTCCAGATATTGTAGGATGATCATCATTAATCAAGACAGAGGCCTTTACTGGCATCATAAGATCACTTAAAGAAAAAAAAACTCAAGGCTGTAGTTTGGTGGCAATGAAACATCTGAAATCATCCCATCAGTTTTTCTTAATCTTTTATAAGAGAAGTGGGAGAAGAGCCAGATATAGAACTGCCCCAAGTCTTTTTATTTTATGGTTTCTATATCAAACCCAGGGCTTCAGGAGATCCTTCTGAGACACGCAGCTGAAAGGATCATAATCCTAATAAACACCTCTGCCCCTCCTGATGTGACAACATTGTCCTGAGCCACTGCTTTAGTACTTCCTGTTCTGCAGTTCAGAAATGATGAAAAGAGAAAAGGGATCCTTGACCAAATGGAAAAGTGATCTGATATGCCAAAGCACCTCATTGTCAATAGTACTGCCATGTTGCATACTGAGAACAGGCAGGTAATAATGAAAACAGACGGGCCAGGCATGGTGACTCACACTAGTGATCCCCACACTTTGGGAGGCCAAAGTGGGCGGATCACTTGAGGTCAGCTCAAGACCAGCCTGGCCAACATGGTGAAACACCATCTCTACTAAAAATACAAAAATTAGCTGAGCATGGTGGTGGACACCTATAATCCCAGCTATTTGGGAGACTGAGGCATGAGAATCAATTGCTTGACCCGGGAGGCAGAGGTTGCAATGAGCTGAGATTGTGCCACTGCACTCCGGCCTGGGCGACATACAAAAACTCTGTCTCAAAAAAAATAAATAAATAATATTTTTAAGTAGAAAAGAGGCAATTTTTTTAGGTTGACTGAATAGAATCACTAAACACTTGAGGGGTATAAATCTAACTAATTCTATAGGTGATGAAAACCAATTATACGTTGATTTTTGATTATTGACTTTTTGCAGTAATTGATTTTGCTGCCTGAAATTAGAATCTGGTTATTTTAACAATAAAAAAAGTCAAGGGTGTGCCTTTAAAAAAAAAAAGATAAATCGATAACAACATAAAGGACTGGAATTCATGATGGCTCCAATAGACTCTACCTCTTGGTCTTTAATTTTTATTGGACTCTTTCTGAGGAAGCTGTTTATATTTGATGAGTCAGTAAGATCTAATGGAGGACACTGAGAAACATTAGAGGTAGAAAGAGCAAGTGATGAAAACTACTAGTAAAATTGCAAATTTTGCAAGACAAATAGACATTAGTGGATAATTTTTAAAACTATTTACAAGGCTCATAATATTTTATCATAAAAGCTCTGCTATGATAACTCCAGCCTTCTGACAAAACAATAATGTAAACACACATAATAACTTAAAAGTATAAGTGCACTTTTGACAAGGAATATTCAAAGTCAGTATGAAATACAAATATTTACATTATGCTAATGCATTGCCCATTGAAACCTATAAAAGATATGTATTTCCATTACTTAGAATTGTAATTATTAGGTTGCTGAAAAAGTAATTGCGGTGTTTACCATTAAAAGTAAGGGCACAAACCACAATTACTTTTGTTCCAACCTAATACATAGATGTAAAACAATCTCAATTGTTTCTGGACCTTACCTTAGATCATGACCTTTGAGATGGAAAACAGCTTTAAAGAGAGACTGACAAGCCAATGTTAATTTGCTCTTAATCTTAAAGATGATTGCACACATATCGCTAATGTAATTGTTTATTTAAATATAGGACTGGCATATCTTTCAACTGGTAAGCTAAAGAGAGAAAGATTCAGAGGGGAGAAAACATGGAAGAAATTTTATTTATATATTCAAATATTAAGTGAAAAGTATCTGAATTTGCCAAAATGATTAGATTAAAGAAATCAAAAAAAAACACTTTATTTTTAATCATAAAATCTATTTAATATATATTTAATATCTCTTAATATTTAAGCTTTCCAATGTAAAGCTTTGGAAAATATAGTGTGCTTCCCATCTTGTCTTTCCATTGTCTCTTGACGCTGTCCTTAACTAATTTCTACCCCTTGTTGGCACACCGATCAAATATGTCTGATGAATACATTCTTATCAAGAGGCAAGAATGCAACATAACCAGGTCAAAAGCCATACTGATGTAGGACTGACACTCAAAGTCTTTGATAAATTCGATCAGACAACACATTTGACTAATTCCTGGTATGCCAACCAAACAGCGAGTTTATTGGCACACTGGGTCAGTAAAATGTTACACAAATAATGAAATCCAATAGGTTAAGAAGATGGGTCCTTTATCTAGTATAAAGAAGCAGGGTTGAAGTTCTACTGTAGTTCCTTTCACAGAAATGCTAAATCTTACTGAGCTTAATTAAATGTTCAAACTCTGGGTTGGTAATGTGTCCTCTCTTCACACTTGTAGCTACCTGATTATCTGGGACTTGGGGGGACTCTCCAGATTGGTGATCACTTGCATGAACATTTTTCCTTAGCAGTACAACCACCTTCTGTTAAGAAAAGCATCTTGCCTTGGCTCAGAATATTTCCTATCACCCACCATGACCATATCCAAAGAATACATTATAGCAAGAAAACAGAATGTGGGCTGTGGACAAATCCATGTGCACTATGTATGGAAAGCATGTGGGTCACTATTACACGAGATCCTGAGTGTCAGCTCCATTTTGATCTAAACTATTCAGGAAATGTATTTTCCAAGACGCACCACTTATACAAACTAAGGTAGATGCAATCAAGTTTTCTAGTTATATCCTGAACCTTCTGGGGGCATTTCTGTTTCTAGCGTGTAAAACTGACCTGTCTTCATTGCTGCGGTTGCTACTGTAGATCCATCCCTCCACCTCCCCATGTTTTTCCAAAGGCAGTGGATGTCTGCTTCTATCCTGCTGAAAAAAAGATAAGAGGCCCCTTTAGAGTGATAGCTGTTCGGCGAGCCTTGAGTATCAACAGATGGTTACAGCTCCCAATTTGGGAGGAACTTTCTTGGGTGATCCTGGAACCTGGAGTAGTAGCATTAACCAAGACCCAAAGATGGAGTGCTTATAATGTTACTGACAACAACAAACAAAGCTTGTGTGCAATGGTGGGGGTGGCAATGCCTTTATAAAACTGTTTCTACTTCTGTTTTTAAAATGCTGGATTGAGGGACTTTCTCTAAGCTTCTCAGCTTCTTTTTACTGGGACAGGTTCCAATCTTCCTTACTGTCAACACTGCCGGCAAGAGAATGGTTTGGAAACACTCCCTGGTAAGGATATGAATTGCACAGCTTCTACTTTGGAGAATTCAGTGATTTTTGAAAAACTGAGGGGGAAAGTCTACTCTAAGTTTTTATTTAGAAAACATACAGTTAAAGTATAGGAATATTAAATCCCTTGGGATTTTAGCCATGTGGTTATGTCAACCTTCCCTAAGAACAGTTCTATGGGAAGTAAGGAGAAAAGACCTGAGAGAGGAGAAAATTTTCTGGTTAACTTCAGAGGCATTTCTTCAGCTGGTAGAGTCTTCCCAGTTGGGTTCTGAGCTCATGCTCTTTGTAACAACACACTGAGCACTAAGCAATGTAAGAAATGGGCCTGGATTAAGGCATGCAGAAATGAGAAGGATACCTCTGCAGCTCTGCCAATACTTCCACAAATTGTCTGCAAAACACTCCTTTTGTGCCTAACTTTGTTATGGCAGCACCTCAAAAAGTGGAAGGTTGTGAAATTCAGGCAGCGTTTATATAAAAATTCCATGACTCTTGTTAGTCTACAGTTGGAATCATTATATAGTCCTACCGAAAGACAAGATCTGGGTCAAATTTCCACAGGTGAGATTTTCAAACCTAGCATAATTTTCTCTTCTCCTTTTTTTTAAAAAAAAAAAAAAAAAAAAAAAAAAGATTTTTAGGGGGCTTTTTTTTTTTTTTTTTTTTTTTTTTTTGATACAGAATCTTGCTCTGTCACCCAGGCTGGAGTGTCGTGGTGCTATCTTGGCTCACTGTAACCTCCACCTCCCGAGTTCAGGCAATTCTCATGCCTCAGCCTCCTGAGTAGCTGGGATTACAAGTGCGAGCCACCACACTGGGCTAATTTTTGTATTTTCAGTAGAGATGGGGTTTCACCATGTTGGCCAGGCTGGTCTCGAACACCTGGCCTCAAATGATCCACCTGCCTCGACCTCCCGAAGTGCTGGGATTACAGGCATGAGCCACTGTGCCCAGCATTTTTTTCATTCTTTAAGCTAGCATAAATTTCACTGGGTGTAGAAATTGGTGTCAAAAGAAAGTTAAATGAATCACCCAATCTTTCTCTAGTTTTGAAAGTGTATTTTTTTATATCACTGTTGCACAAGTGTATTGTTTGTGCTTATTTTTTTCTTCTTTAAAATAATAGGTTAAATAAGCAGCCTAACAAATAGCCAAGTATCTTTACATCCAGAGTGAAATATCTTAGTACAGGGACTTTTATTATCATAGCAAACTCTTGTATTTCCTCCACAGGAAAACATTTACTGTAGCTGAATCTTTGAGGCCTAAAGTATATTATTCATAAACTCAAAACATTTGGAGACATTTCATTGAAGAATATAACAAAAACATTAAATATTATGATTATAAATATTAAAATAAATGTGTGTTGGGTGTCAACTATATATCAGGTACTACAAGGGATATAATGTGGTCCCCTCAGGACAGAATCTCACAGTCAAGAGGAAAGATGAGAGATGTTCCAGATCAAAGACAGTACAAGGCAATGTGGTGAG